ACGGAGGTCGAACATTTGGTTTCATAAACACTTTAAATACAAATTAAATATTCTGTTAAATATTAATGTCTGAGTATCAGATGTTATATTCTAAATTTTAGAAATTAGACCAATGAGAAATATCCGATAACTATTGGATTCAATATTGCATCATTACCGCGCCTTTATGATAGAATGATTTCTATATTGTATCATGTATGCAATTCAAGTAGCCAATTGTAAATATAAGATGAAAATAAAATAAAGTTACCATTATTACCATACTAAATACATCCAAATCTAAGGTATAGATAAATATAAAACTCAGTATAATCCTACTTAATGCATTTTGATACTTTCCAGAACCAGATAGCACCATCTGTAGTCCTTTCAATACCTTTTATCAAAACAACAACATTCAGGTTTCTGGGTCATCAGGTTACATCAAAAGTCCCTTGTATGGAACCAAGTACCCAAGCAACATGCAGTGCACCTGGGTGATAACAGTTCCAAACGGAAACAAAATCAAGCTGACATTCTCAGATTTCAGGGTAGGAGAGAGGTTTTACGGTTGCTCTCCATCTCATGACTTTGTGGAAATAAGGGATGGAGAATTTGATGTGAGTGCTATACTTGGCCAATACTGTTCCAGCTCTAGACCTTCACCTGTTTACTCATCTGGAAGGCACATGTGGATACGTTTCAACTCTAATAGTGACAATTATCTTGATAAACAATATGCACAGGAAAAAAATGGATTCAGGGCCAGTTATGAAGTAATAAAGTTAGGTGAGTTGTCTTCACTAATTATACGATTAAATCATAATATACCAGAAACATACATGTACCATAGCTACAGTAAGTTTTACCAAATTGACCTGTTAATTCATGCATACATGTACAAGTTTGCATTTGCAAATCACAAGACTGTGAACTATGATCATCAAATGAATTATTATATTCATTCTTTTAGATCTATTCAGTTTCAAAGCATAATTTAAAGCTGATGAGGCAAAGAAATGCATTGCTGAGCAATAAGAAAGTAGAGTTTAAAGGCAACTCAGTTCACATTTTTATAATAATTGATATTTTTAGACAACTGTTTCAGATGGGACTGGAGTAATAACTGGTATTATCATAGCATTAGCCGTAATGACCTTCCTCTTTTTGGTTTATTGTATTTTTCTAAAAAGAAGAAGCACTCCAAGTCGTGGTCAAATGGCACAGCCAGTAACACAAACAACACTCACCTACATGAATCAAACCCCACCAAGTGCCCCATCTTATCCAACTGTTCACTACTCTCCAGCACCCCAAAGTAGCTATCCTAGCTCCCCCATCAAGTGGGTATCCTCCAGCTCAAGAGAGCTATGAACAATCTCTATCTGGTAGCCATCCTATVTCATCAACTACTGGTGGTYCAGGACATACTCTCGAACCTTCAACATCAATGGAAGAACACTCTTCGGGTACATTTCTGAATGATCCTCCTCCTACCTACCGAGAGGTAGTTCCAGATGTCCCCCCTCCTCCTTATCCAGGAATATCTCAGAATCCTTCACAGGTACTCACTACACAACACCCAGCTACTTCTTAACTAATCTGATTGGGTTCTGCTTCCTAAACTAATGGAATGATGAAGCCTCTAAAATATACAGAATAGATGCCATTGTGCTCAGTTGCCGCAACATCATGAGACAAGCTTCCCAGCTTAGCCAACATCATACACCAAGGTATAGAACATCAACAGTTTTATCCTGCAGTAGAGGATTCCGCTTAGTGGCAATCATCATCTGTATCACACCTATGCCTCAATGAATGCAGATGCAATTTCAAGACAATACTCACAAAGATCATATTAACTATGCAGAGATCAATAAAAATTTATAGGAAGCCGAACATTCCAGAAAGAAAATGATTAAGAAAATGGTTCAAAGTACAAATAAAGGTTTTATTTGTTGGTCATATAAATTAAAATATGCTATGTACATTTGTACGTGTTTGAGGAAACAACCTTAGTATTTTCGCTTAAAAAAGGTTCAAAGTTATATCAAGTTGTGTATTGAAGAAAGAAAAATCCTTCAAAGACACTAAGAAATGCGTAAAGCTGTCTTATAAACTAAATTACTTTTAATTGAACAAAAACCTACGTTACTTACGGTTTTTTTTTTGTCTTCTCCATCCGTCTCAACTTTGATTCAAACATGGCAGTAAAAATGGCGGGAATTTTTCCTCTCAACGCGCAAAGGATTCTGGGGAATCCAAGCTTGCAAAGGATTCACTGGATTCAGTTCAAAAAAATGCAGACATCGAGGTAGCCTCCTTTGCATGTTTTCTTAAAAAAGATTTATTGGTTCTAAAAGTGCTTCTTATTTACTAATATTTACAAAATGATAAAATAAAGTATTGAAAAGAGCCCGATTAAAAATGAATGAAAATCATAGTAAGCTTATAAATGTTACAGAAATCTTTGTCTTAAAAACCTTTTACAGGGCAGTCGTAAGTAACTGGTACACAAAAATCTTTGCTACTTTGACAATAACAAGCTTTTTTAAATTGCTATTTTGACCTTTTTTAATATTCTATCCATGTTTAAATATCGGTTATGTAAAATATTATATACATCTTCCGTAGCACAGCCTTCCCTAAAGGAAAGTTTATTCGTCACGAAGTACTATACTTATGCCGGCTCCATCGTGATAAATTGCAACGGTTTCCTTTAATGCTATCTTTCAGGCTTTTCCTTGTGCACTTCCAAAAGAACTACGTCGTAGCATCTTCAGACTAAATGAAATTTAAGATATTTTCAGAAAGTAAAACATGTAAACAAAGAAAAAAATACTCAAAATGATACGGCTATATATATAAAGGAAGAAGAACTGCAAGCTGGAAAAGAAACAGCGGGGGGAAATTAAAAAGGATAGGATATGACTGGTTGAGAATAGAATAGAAAAACAAAATGTAATTACAAATTTGAGAAAAGATTTGTAATTAAATACCTTAACTGGCTTTCCCATTTTTTTGTACAATTTTTCGAGAAGCAGGCTTTCACCAGCATTACTCAGACAGTCTGCAGCTTTGTTGACCATGTCGCACTTCAAAAGCGCAACAGCTGCGGCACATAACAGATTATTATCTTGCTTTGCTGTAGCTTCTTGAGCCATTCTTAGTGCCTCGCTTTTATTGAACATAAGTTCATCGTCCGCATTTTTAAAGCAAGTTTCAGCCAAAGCCCATTCTTCTTGATTGAGGAAATGAATCCCCTGGTCTCTCCACTCTGCGGTCGTTGAACTTTCTGCAAAAGGATTTCTCAACGAAGCTTCATCTTTATCCTTGAGGACGTTCATTTGAACAAGATTTGACCGTTGGAAATACTCAAACATTGGTCCACGGCCATTTACATCTTCGTCAAAGAACCATATATTCACCCTAGCTCGGGTTATTGCAGTATATAAAAGCTTAAACTCAGAATTAAGCAACTTGTGTTGCTCGCGGTTGAATTCAAGGGGTCTTGATGTAGGTGTGAGGTTTCTCTCATGAATTTCCACGAGGCCGGTAGCTCCTGATTGAATGCGGTTCTGCTGCTCTTCGTGAGCGTAGCTAGTCACGACTCTCCATTCCTCTTTTGCCTAAAAATTCACAAAAAAGTTCAATGATATCGATCACTCAAGTAAAAGGTGCAATCGTAATTGCGGCATCGCCAAAAGAGGTTAAATCTAAAATTTGGTGGCAAGAGAAGATGGATTAGCGTTATTATTTTTCATTGTTTCAAGGTCATCCCTGATGGCACACAACAGAAATACTGGACGGTTTATGTTATTATCATCATTAGTAAATAGCAGTATAACTACTCTCAGTTGTCTATTCTAAGTAATTCCCTAAATTCAGGGGTTTACCCCGGATTTCCCATGAGGCGGCGGAGGGTCAGTCCCAACCAAATCCGACCAATCACAAAAATCAAAACTGCTAAAAACAAGAGGTTACAAGCAGACTCGGACCACAGGCCTTGCATAACGACGGCCCAGAATTGTTATCTACATATTTTTACCTCGGAATCTTTAAAGAAATTGTAGATGAGAACGTCATCAAACTCCAGACCTTTTGCCTCGTATATAGTGAGAACCAAGCCATGTTTCAATTCTTCTGGCATGTTATCACGAGCCTCTTCAGATACCACAAGAACAGCTTGATGGGCACCAAATTCAATTCTTGAAGTTTGCCGTTTGTTTCCTCRAAGGATCATAGCCAAGTCTGACAAACTGCAGGACTCGAGGAGAACTGGCTTGGGACCATCAAATAAGGCGGTGTCCTCTTCGAGCTTGTCAAACGACTGAGGGAAAAACCTTCCCAGCAACTTGACTACACTAGAAGCCAACTTTAAAATACCAGAATGGGAACGATAGTTGTGTGTCAACTGGAAAAGAATCTTTGGAACATTTATTGTATTGTCATACGTCGACTTCAAATTAAAAAGCAGAGTCTTAATGTCATCAAAACGGAAAGCAATTCCTCTCATGATGCTCTGAGCCGTATCCCCAGTGAAGAACATTCGAGTTCGCTGGCGACAGCACAGGATGAGAAGAGTCAACTCCGCTTGAGTGAAGTCTTGTGTTTCGTCTACATAAACTCTATGGATGGACAATGGCAGTTTTTCCAGATTCACAGAAAGGCGTTTGTGGAGGTGATGGACCAGGTCGGCCTCGTCATACTTCCCCTTTGAAGTGAGAAATTTTTGATACGACTCAAAAATTTCATAAATTGTGTCCCTGTCTCCCACAAAGAAAGGAGCTCTTTTTCGGCCGATTTTTTGATATTCCTCTTTCGAAAGAAAGCCTTGAGTTGTGTTTAAAGCCTCTGCCGATCCCTTGATAAATGACCTGATTTCTGTCCATACGAGAGTTGGATGGATCTCTTTCTTTATTTTTCTTTCCATTTTTGGCCAGAAATCGTCCCTGAATACTTGATACGTGAGTTCTCTTCTAAGATTTTGAGAAGTGATAGGCTTTCGGCGACGCTGTGAATCGGTATCTTCTGTTATCTGATGAACCCCTTGCACTTCTCTCATCTTTTGATCTTCACCATCCACAGGAAGGGAACGCATATGTTTGCTCTCTTTTCCCCATCCTTTGATTTTGTTCTGCAAACTTCCATCAGATTTTCTTTGAAAAAACGAATCTCCAGGTAAAGACGCATCCAAGAGGAGCAGCCAGTCACGGGAACTAACAATTAGAGGCCAGGAAGTTTCTCCCAAATCCTGAATCCGAATTGGAAGTGAGTCATCACATACCACTATTGATTTTATGGATGGATTAGCGTTTATCAACTCTTTGACATTTTTTCGAACTTCGTTGCACAAAATATCATTTTTGGTGATAAAAACGGGGTGAAAATGCTCGAACTTCTCTGAACTGCATCCCCCCATCGATTTGACTCCTCCATCGACAGATGATGACGCGCCCTGACAACTTTCCGAGGTTCCTTCTCTCGTACTGCAGTTGCCGGGCCTTGAAGAAGTATAAATCGGAAATTGTGGTCCATTGGTAGCCGCTTGTTTCCAGTAGTTCTGGAACTCTGTCCAAAGACGATACAGACAACACGTCGTTTTCCCCGTGCCACTTCGACCAAGCAGAATAATGGGACAAGGTGGCTCTTGCTGTAGGTGAATGATGTCGTGTTCAAGCTCGGTAACTTTGAATGGGAAGTTAATATCAGCTTTTCCTTCCCCGTTCAGAAGGGCTTCCATTACAGGAAATGTGAAGGAATAAAATTTCAAGATGTTATACTCATTTTTGTCGGAACTTGCGGGTGGAGAATAATGAACTCCTTCTTCATCAGCATTTAGCTCGGTATGTGGCCGATTGCCGTACTCGCATTTCTGATACAAAGTAGGATAAGTCACCACCGTGATATCTGATTCATTCGTCTTCATTTCAATTGCCTTGAGCCTAACTTTCATCGCACACTGCTTTCCCCGCTCGATGCTTTTCACGACATTTTCGATTTCGTGATCTAAGTCTCCGTGATCCATCACTACATCCCATACTCGTATTATTTCTGTGTAAATCCTTAAGTCTTTGTTTGTGCTACATCTTTGTTTAGAGAACGCGATAGTCTTTTCCCACAGGATTCTTGCACCCTTTGTTAACTTGGACTCATACAAATGAATTTTTTTCTGTTTCGGTTGCCCTTCGAGCCTTTTACACGAATTTGCATTCCATTCACCTTGTGCTAGCATTATTATCTTCTCCACGATTCTCCTCTTCGTGTCTTGCTGTATCTTTTTACCACTAAAACGCTTCTTGAACTTATCACTAAAATCCACTTCCCATCGTAGATTTTCAAACATTGTTTCATCTATTTCCTGGATCACCGCTTCGCCCTTTTCTTCATTTGCACTTCCACGAGCTAGCGTTACTTCATCAGGTCCATTCGAAGCTTCTGGTAATTCAACTGCCTCCGATTTGRCTTCATCTTCAAAACTGTCGATGATAGTTACATTTTCAATCAGCTCTTCCAGTTCTTTTCTTACGTCTTTTTTCTTTATTTTCTTTGAGGCTGATTTACTAGCRGWTACCATGKTGGTTTTCGACGTAGGGGATAAATCCTGTTTAGTCGTATTCTTAGGGGAAGTTTGGGTGACATCGTTCGCAGAARGACGAGAACAATTTTCGTTTCTTTYTTTRATAAWTTTTTCGATCATTTTCCTGCGGTCATCCTTCTTATTACAGCAATCTGTTGGTAGTTYTCYTYKTTTGTTTTTWATTGTGGGRTCAACATTTGCMTTTRAAAGACATCTTATGACCTTACACTTRTTGGGATTATTTTTCCCAATCACGGCGAGATGATAAAGACTGTCTCCACTAGAGTTCTTTACATTTTGAATAGAGGGATGTTGTGAATCAAGGAAACACTCGAGCATCGTTAAATTCCCTGAGATACTTTCAGAACTTGTTGACATGATAATCTAGTTTGAAATATGCTAAAGTAATTTATAATGGATACCTTGATCAATGGCTGTCTTCACTACTTCATGCACCAGTGGTTGATTACCATGTGTTTTAACACAAGGGTTCGCGTTGTGCTTCAAAAGAGTTTTAGCAATTTCCACTTGTCCTTTTCCAACCGCAGCTACGAGTGGGTTAATGTTTGAGTTTAGACCATTTACAGACGCTCCTTCCTCAAGCAAAACTGACAATGTTTCTTGCTTTCCCTTGAATTTTGCTGATATAACATCTTCAATTGCTATTTTACTAGCACTGACGCGTCCTGTTGCGATACCTCCCTTTCCCTGTAGATATTTTTCTGGCCCACCTCCACCAAGATAAAGAAGGCGAATAAGCTTCCAGTCTTTCGAGTTAACAGCCTCTTTATGAAGACGCTTCAACAGATTTGACGAAATTTGAGCTGTGAGGCCAGTTGTTTCTTCTAAAATGAAAATAAATAAATMAATCAATCAATCAACAAATGGAGTACGTTGGATAATAAATAAGATTCAAGGCTTTTTCTCAGTTCTTACACTGCTAAAGCCAGAAAGGGAAAATGTAGTAGCAAAGAACAAAAAGGCACAAAAGACAAAATGGCACAAAGACAAAGCGATTTTATATAAATTCATCGAAATATATAATTATTTTATGGAAAGCAGAGTTTTAATTTTCAGCCACACATGCATTGTTCTTTCATATAGTAAGGCTTTTCATCGATCAGTACCTTATTCTGAGGTTTTTTGCAATGTCGATCTCCCTGCATGGACTTGAAATATCGTCACATGTGGAAATGATAATTCTTACTCAAACATTATTTTGTTAGTAGTACACTTACCTGGCAATTTAACTGCGACGTCGATTGCTTCTTTGAGGAATTTCCACTGCTCTTCCGAATTGCGCTCTCGTTTTAGACACTCGTTCAAGGCAGATAACATTTCACTGTGCCGTTGTAGTACCTTGTAACAGGAAACTAACAAGGTATGGCCCTGGCGGTGGAAAATGAGAGCGATTACGAAAAGTGAGAAAATTTTACTTATGTTCCAAAACGGCCCAAAATTGCCACCAAGCACTTGAAGTATATTGAATATTCATCAAGGGAATGTGGAACTCTGTTCTACCCATCAACGTACCTTAACATCGTCAGGGTATTTTGTCGTTGCCTCGATGCCATTCTGAAGAGCGTGTTGGAAATCGTGTAGATGATAGTGTGCGGAACCCCGTAGACATAGTAACTTAAAAATCAATGGTTTTATGCTTGGCGATGGGACTTCTTTCTGCATGAATATTAAGTGATATCAATAAACGATGGATGAGGCGATTCCATCAATTCAATTAATGTTACGACTGGTAAAAAGATTAAATAATTTTACCTTTGTGTCTGGGAGTTCCAAGACTTTATCACATGTATGGATGGAATTTTGATACTCCTTTCTTTCAAAGTAGGCCGTGGATAATGCGAGGTGGATCTCCAAGCGCTCTTGAAATTCCATCTCACACTGACTTGCCTTTTTGAAGGCAAATACAGCGCTTCCGAGGTCTCCAGAATCGTATGCTTTTGTTCCTTTCTTTCTCCACATGGTGCCTTGGGACTGTTTGATGATAAAGTGATAGAGAAATGACATGCATGCAGTAATTGTCAGTCACGTTAGCCATGCTAAAATTGTGTGTAAACCTATGTGTAATACGTATATTGTACTGTACCATAAACATGCTTGTTAAGTCAGGACGATGTTAATCATGCCGATTTATTTCTTTTCATAGCGGATAACAAAAAGGCTTATGAACGGGTGAAGAAAAAATTGGATTGGAGCCGCGCCAATGGGCACTTTAGTTAACAAGGCATTGTCATGCAATTTGTGAATTCAAAAAGGGTAAATTGGAGGGGGAAAAGGTTTGCCACATTTTAACTATTTTTATACCTTTTTATACTTTTTAAATACTTGGAGTACCCCCTTGTCTTGTCTTCTGCCAGCAATTTCCAGTGGCGAGTCGTCACAGCCTGGTGAACCCGAGATTGGCGCACCATGTTTAAGGAGCTCGTCTAGAAACTCTGGCAAATATTCAACACGGTTATCTATGCCCCATTTAACGATCAGTTCCAGAGGAACACCAGAAGCGTCGCAGCCAGCAGCCAAGCCTCCTTTGCCATAATCATACTTGTGTGGTCCGCCGCCTCCAATGAACAGCAGACGGAGTTTTTCCCAGTCTTGATTGCACAAGCATTGCTTTATCATGTCATTGACCATTTCCTTTGGTACATCCAGAAAAACATCAGTTGTTCCATCTGGTAACAAATACAAAAAAAATGTAGGTACGCATGGCACAGTGAAGTGTAAAGCTATTTCGATYCAATAGTTTTCCTCGAAATTGGTAAAAGCTATCAAGACTAGTTACAAAATAAAAAAAAGGTACCTTAGTTGGCCATTTTGCAAGCAATCTAGTTCTAGTTATAATTATTATTGTCACAAAATAGGGATTTTGACGGAACTATGAACGGTACCACTGATAATAATCTCACATTCAAAAATAGTATCCAGTTTATAGGCGGAATTAAGACAATGTAACTTACCTGGAATTTCTTTTGAGATCAACAAAATTTTCTGTATGATCCTGTTTTTCTCGGGGACGTCAGCGATACTGAATGCTTTACAGTAAGAATGAACCGCCTCGCGGTGTCTTCCAAGACGATCAAAGATGTCTCCTAATAGTTGATGTCCCTGAAAAAAAGTTAACTTAATTGATATTATCTTTAGAAGATAATATAGGTAAGTTGTAGTGCTTGGGAACGAGGATATTCCGGAATTAAGGAATTGAGGAATTGAGGAATTAAATTCGGAAAAATTAATTTCCGACCTCGCTGGGATTCGAACCCACGACCTTCGGAATTGTACTACCGATGCTCTACCAGCTGAGCTAG